TTCAGCCTGTCTCGGGTTCTCCCAATGGTGTAACGCCGTCGACTTATTGGGAAAAAGGAGGAAAATCACGCGCCACCTCCCCGGATCAGGACTCGGCCGGCGTCACCAAGGAATCGTGGAGCCAATTCATGTCCAGGCAATTGAGCCACCTTTTGGGTTGGGGTATATACCTACGGAAGAAGATCTCCAAAAATTGGAAGACAGGACAAAATCGATGAAACGGAAGAGATCCGAGTGAATGGAAAGGAAAAAACAAAGGATGAATTCCACTTTAAAAGGACACGCTATCGATGAAAGTTCGCCCAATGGAAGCGAGTGACTCAAGGTATGCCATCGCTCTTCTCTCTTGACCTGAGACTGGGACCTGAGACTCGGTTGGGGGAGTTCCGTGAGCGAGGAGAAGAGTCGGTAGCTGTGGATCCACTGGGTGAGTGGAAGACATTGAGAAGGGCTTCACATCCCTTGCAGGGCTTTGAGGTTGATTGAAAGTTGCGCTCCGAAGATGGAAAGATTCCAGGAAAAAAAGGAAAAAAAAGAAAAAAAAGTATAAAAACAAATATTGTTATTAGAAAAATAAACTAAAATACAAATTTTAAAAGTGGAAAAAAATTGAACTAAAGTTAAAATTATGGAATTAAAATAATGTTTAAACATACTATATTAAAATAAATAGTTTGAAATTTCATCATAACCAAAATAATGGAGCAAATTAGAGTTATTAAAAGTAGGGTATTGGTTATGCGTTCTAGGCCCTACACTTTATCCACTCAACTCTATCGTCTTTAAGATGTCCCACCCACCACACCCGCGCCCAATAATTACAGTCACTATTCTCTTTTCTTTCCCCCTTTTTTTACCAACCAGAGAGAAAAAAGAAAAACCTGATCGATGGAGGAGAAGTTATCAGCGATGAAACCATATTTTTTCCGGTAAAGATGCTTCTTCTCAGGTCGCGCAGTCTTTCCACGGCCGCTGCCGCCGCTCTCGGTCTTCTTATCCGACGATTCTGTCCACGGGGCGGCCGTTTTCCCACTTATCCCTCCGTCGGCCAGCTTCTCGCCGCCGCGTACTCCGCCCATGCTCCGTTTAATGGACGACAGCCAGGTTCCCATCTAGCCGGCGGCAAAACGGCTAATTATTTTCCAAGCCCGAAAATGATGTTTATGATTTATAATGTATAAATATCTTACATTACAGGTTTATATATTATTTGAAACTCAGTCGGGTCGGGTCGGGTGTGAATAATAAAGGAATGAGTGGGATTCCAGTGAAGAAATTGACATGAAGCAGAAGGAAGGAATTGGATTCTTGCTGAACGGATGGTTCGAGGAAAGAGAGAAACCCTAAGTTGTGATTTTTGGAAGTCACGAGTGATTTTGAAAAAAATAGACTTCTTTATAATTGATTTTAAAAAATTACTTTAAAATGATAACTTAGGTGATTTAAAAATTTTTATAATAAATTTTTAATTGGACAAATAGAATCAATGGATTTCAAATATACCCTTAAACTTAGTGAGAATGAACCTTTCAAATGAGGTTTTAAGAAATAGTACTTGTAGATGCATTATACTCGCCAAACCTTTTTTTTTCTTTAATCACTATTGAATTTTTGTTAGACATCAATATTAAATGGAGAGAAAATGACAATGTAAGATTCAAATCCAGGTGTAAAAAGGAATAAATTCGAATCTATTGAATTTTCTTTGAGAATAAACTATCAATAAACTCAAAAGTTTTGGAATTAGATGAGGTAAAATATGGTTTGTAAATTATGTATATTTGAAAGACGTCGGAAAAAGAATATAAAACGCTTATATCCCTTTGGGAAGATAAATGGTAAGGAAAGATAAAATATAAAGTATAAGGTAAGCTTATTTTAAAATGTGAAAAGGTCTATAAACATAAAATTAAACAGTATATAATATATAATCATAAACATTTGAGACCGAACGATATAATATACACATAATTGCCAGACAATTTCTGATTCACCCAGTGGGCACTCTGTTGAAATGGGCCAACAAGAAATTATGGGCTTATTAAATGGGCCTCTTTCAGGTTCTGAGCACAGCGGCCCAATGGGCTCCGCGCCAAAAAACGCCACAGTAATTCCCGCGGTAATTATCTCAGAATTCGGAAGAAAAAAGGAAAAAGAAAAAGAAAAAGTGAAAA